TTGCAGCTCCTCACTGGCCCGTCCCCCGTACGTTATTGAGCCTCATGCAGCGCATCGCCTATGGACCAAGCTGGCCACGTGCCCTCACAGCCCCCACAGACCAGGAGTCCAGAGAAGGACGCAATGCAAGCTCCTACAGCGGACTCTGCAGTTCTTTGATAAACAAACAGGTCATTAGGAGGCAGGGAGAGTGGGGGACACGCAGGGCTTTGAAAACATCTCCACGGACGGAGTTGCAGTAGGGGAGAAACGCATCACTGCCAACACTCCAGCCCAGCAGGCTTCCGGGGGGGGGGGGGAGGCACGGTTTGCCCTGGGCGCACATCCTGGGACGCCAGCCCCTAGCAGCCTCCTTGTCATTCCTGGCCCCCAGGCCTGGCACTCGCAGGATGTCCATTCCAGGAAGGCCTGTGTGGCCAGGAGCGGATGTTTCCCTCTGTGCCCTCCATGGGGCTCAGGAAGACCCCACCCTGCAGGTGGCAGGAAGGGGGCCCTGCGGCTGGAGCGGGTCTGGTTCTAACTTTCCATTCCTGTTTTCATTGGCAAAGGGCTCCGGCGAATGTGACAGGGGAACCCCACACTCTCAGGTGAACCGGGCAGATGACTGGCTCCCAGCTGCTTTGAAGTCTGCTCAGGTCAACACGCATGTACTGAATCCCCGCTGTATTTTCTTGTTCACCTGGGAGATTTCACTGAGTGCCTCCTTAAGTGCGAGGCACCCTTCTACGTGCTGCGGATGTGGCCTGGAGCAAAGGTGTCCGTTCAGGTCCTCGGAGAAGCCGGCATTGGAGTTGGAAACGCAAGAGATGTGTCGGGGGGATGTGGGCTCCTTCCAGCCCACGAAGGAGGCGGGGGCAGGGGGATCAGTGGGGAGCCGTGGCCAGCCTGCTGGGCACTCCAGATTCAGGCCAGCCAGGAAGGAGCTTCCTACAGGTGCCACGGCTGGGGGCTGGCCAGCGCTTCCTGTGGAAGCTTCTCTCTGGAGGGGCGACTGGAGCAGCACACCTCCAGGACTGCCAGAGCAGGGGGCATGCAGCTGACATCCTGCAGGGGATACAGGGGACGGCCCATCCACCCAGCAGCAATTTCCAGTACAGACACCCAGTGGCAGTGTCTTTTCTTTTTTTCTTTTTTTTTTTTTGTAACATTTATTTATTTTTGAGACACAGAGAGAGAGAGAAAGAGAGAGAGAGAGAGAGTGTGTGTGTGTGTGTGTGTGTGTAAGTGGGGGAGGGGTCGAGAAAGAGGGAAACAGGAGATCCGAAGCAGGCTCCTCACTGATAGCAGAGAGCCTGATGCGGGGCTCGAACTCGCAAACCTCGAGATGATGCGCTGAGCCCAAGTCAGACGCTGAAACGACTGAGCCCCCCCCCCCAGGTGCCCCCCAGTGCAGTGTCTTTTAAAGGAAGGAAACGTGTCTCCTCTCCTTTCTTCCCCCTGTAGCTAAGGACGTGGACACGGTGGTCAACCATCTTGAGCCATAGGCAAGAGAAACACCCCTGGGATGACCAGAGAGGAGCCTGGGTTCCTGAAGGACCACACCAAGAAGGGTCACCACGCCAGCCCTGCACAGCCTGCCTCCACACTGTATGTGGGAGAACTGGATTCCACCACTGGTACCTGCGACCAAATCTATAGCCCAAGTGCCGGGTTCCATTCTTTTTGTCCACACTAGAAGTCTGTCAGAAAAATAGTGCCTCTGGGAAAGATGTAAGCAGCCCGCCAGCCCCGGCCCTCAGCACAGAAGCTTAGTTGGGGCTGGGTGGGGTGAGGGAAACGAGGCAGAGGGAGGCACCCCTTTTGGGCACACAACGACTTTTCCATTGGTAAACCATACATCACATACAATTGACCATTACTGAGAGACCATCTCCATGGTCTATCTCCAGAACTTTTTCATCTTCCCAAACTGAAACTCTGTATCTCTTCAACACTGACTCCCCCTCCTGCCCGCCCCCCCCAGCTTCAGCCCCTACTTTCTGTCTCTGTGAGTGTGACCACCCTGGGTACCTCAGGTAGGTGCAATCGTACCGCATCTGTTCTTCTTTGTCTGGCTTATTTCTCTTGGCATAACGTCCTCAAGGTTTACCCGTGTTGTAGCAGGTGCCAGAATTTTCTCTCTTCGATTTTTTAAAGATTTTATTTATTTATTTGGAAGGTTTTTGTTAATATTTATTCATTGTTGGGAGACAGAGAGACAGAGTGCAAGCACGGGAGGGGCTGAGAGAGAGGGAGACACAACCCAGAGCAGGCTCCAGGCTCCGAGCTGTCAGCACAGAGCCCGACACGGGGCTTGAATCCACAAAGTGCGGGATCATGACCTGGGTCAAAGTCGGATGACTAACCGACTGAGCCACCCGGGTGCCCCTTCAAGATTTTAGTTTTAGGGGCGCCTGGGTGGCGCAGTTGGTTAGGCGTCCGACTTCAGCCAGGTCACGATCTCGCGGTCCGGGAGTTCGAGCCCCGCGTCGGGCTCTGGGCTGACGGCTCGGAGCCCGGAGCCTGTTTCCGATTCTGTGTCTCCCTCTCTCTCTGCCCCTCCCCCGTTTGCGCTCTGTCTCTCTCTGTCCCCAAAATAAATAAACGTTGAAAAAAATATATATTTAAAAAAATATTTTATTTTTAAATAATCTGTATACCCCATGTGGGGCTCAAACCCACAAACCTGAGATCAAGAGTTACATGCTCCACAGGCTGAGCCAGTCAGATGCCCAGAATTTCCGGTCTTCTTGAAGCTGGATATATTCCAATGTGTGGATAGACCACATTTTGTCTCTCGATTCTGGCATCCATGACACTTGGACTGTTTCTATCTTTGGCTATTGTGAATAATGCTGTTACAAACTTGGGTATAGAGATACCTATTCAAGTCCCTGCTTTGAATTCTTTCCTTCTTTTTAATTCTTTCTTTTTTGTTTTTTTAATTCACACACACACACACACACACACACACACACACACACCTAGAAATGAAATTACTGGATAGCAGGGTTGACATGGTACCCAGCATGATAGCTATAAGACGAAGTTGGAAAGATAGCAGCATCGGGGAAGTGCCGAAAGCAAGGTCACGAGGCCTGTGGAGAAGGTGGTCAAGGGCAGATGCTCCATATACCAACAGGGGCAGGCCCTCCCCGCTTAGTCCCATCCTCCCTCGGCTCCCACCAGCCTCCCCACCCCCCCCACAGGTTACAGGACAGCGCTGGGTCGTCTTCACCCAGTGTGTCAGCCGGCATAACCACTCAGTGCACACGGCTGATGTCACCTGGTGCCCAACAGTGACATGACATCTGCTGTTACGGAGCCGGGCTCCACTCCACCCTCCACGGGGCACTTATGGGGTTGTCACAAGTGAACGACTTACTTCATCCACTGACTTTGGAACATAATCCCACAGTAGCAGCGGCGTTGGGGTAGGGAGGGCATTCTAGAGGAGTCGTGCCCTTCCTCCTGCTTTCAAGCTGTCACTCGAAACAACAAACGAACAAAAAAGAAGAACCAAAGCAAGCAGAAGCTACATGTCCCCTCACCCAGCCTGCACCCCTGGGAACTGGAATGCTGCCTTCCTCTTTGCTTGGCTCCCACCGATTTCCCCTCCTGGAACCCCCACCTCCTGCTTGTTCAGCATTTTCAGAGGTTATTTATCCCCCAAGGGCACCTCCCCCGGAATTTGCCTGCACCCTTCCCGACTCGGGGGGATCCCGGGGCACCTGCTGCAACAGCTTCTATTCTCACACACAGACCAGCAGTTCTCAGGAGCCTGTGCATGGACAAGGTGTCCGGAATGCAAATCCCTGGGCCCCACCCCAGTCCGGCTGACTCAGAAACTCTGGGCTGGAGCCAGCAATCTGTTTTATTGGCCTCGATCGCTCTAGCTCCAATCTCACCGGGGCTACAGGAGGGCTGAACGAGTGATGCTCAAGGATCAAGAGCGCTGGGCTCTAACGGCTTCCACATTCTTCCTTTCTCTTCTTGTATAACTCACAGCAAAGCGCACCCACTTAGTTGTATAGCCCATCAGCCACATTCTGGGTAGAGACAGAGCCCATCCCAGTCGACCCGGGAAGACTCCCGGGGACACCACTGCTCCGATCCCATCGCCATTGATTAGCTTTGCCTGTTCTTGAACTCGCATGGGACCGTGCAGTTGGTGCTCTTCCCACGTCTGGATTCTCTAGTCCCACTCTGTGAGATTAGTCCACGCAGCTGCATGTAAGAGGAGTCTGTTCCTTTTCTTTGCTGTGTAGTAGCCCATGGCATCCCACTTTCTCAAGTCTGCTGCTGGAGAACTTCTGTTCCCCGTTTTTACAGAATGCAATAGCATCCCTGGGTGCACGTAAGCTCTCGTGTCTCCCGGGTGCCTGACCCCTTCCCATGCTTTCCGACTCCTCCGAACTGTCGAAGCGCCAGGCGTTTTCCTCGGTCCATCCCTGGGGGCTGCTGCTGGGCAGCACCCCCCTCCCCTTGGGGCCCAAGTCCCAGCAGGACTGGGTCCCTCCCCGCGGAGGGTGCTATTCTTCCGGCTCAGCCAGGAGTCAGTCCCGTCCGCCGGGGCCAAGCCAGGCCAGAGGCCTGGGTGCTGAGATCCAGAAGGCCTCAGGCCTGCGGTTTCACTGGGCTCGGTACTGAGGCTGATGGCATTCTGTCGGTGTCACCTCTTGGGGGCTGGGGGACCTGGCATGGGGACCCCCAGCTCCTCACACAGCTGCAGGGTAAGAAATGCTTTTTTCCCATGACAGCATGGATTTCACACATGGGAAGAGCTTCTAAGACATCGCCCAGCTGGCTGATTTTCAAGCGGGGGGCGCAGAGGTTCACGTGGGGGCAGTGGGAACAATTGTCTTCGTGCCAACAGGAGGGTCACCCAGGAGGTCAGGTGATGGGGGACAGAGGTAGGGCCAAGATACAACTTCAAGTTCCCGGCCACGTTCCAGAGGCCAGGAGGTGAACGACGCAAGCGGGGCAGTCAGAGTGGGTGTGGCCTCTTCAAGCCACCCCAACTGAGGTGCCTGCTTCTGGCTCCGGCTGCCCCTGCTCCTCCAGGCAGACCGGAGAGACCCTCCAGGAATCCAGGAATGAGGGGCAGGTTGAGAAGACACGGTGAGTGGCCCCAAGGCCCCTCCCCTATTGAGTCACGGGAAGGGAATGGAAACAGGGCGTGGGCTGAAACAGAGAGGGCCTGGTCTCGCCCTCTTCAGGCCTCACCTGGCTCTGAGGTGAGTCCCACCTGCCAAACCCTGGGAGAGCTCTCTTCGGGGTTAAAGTCCCTGCTGTCTCCACCCAAGGAGGGTGGAGAGAAGCCGGGGGAGCAGGAAAAAATCGGGTTAGCCATTGAGCAGGACTCTCCGGCCCAAGCCTGGGATACAGGGAGGCATCTCTCAAAGGAAGTTGCGAAATCTTCCTTGGGACTGATTTGGGTTTTGGTTCGGGGCCAACCAGCCTATCTTCACGGCTCTGAGAATGTTTTCAAGTAGTAGACATTCCTTCCAAGACATTGCTCAGTGAACACTAAACTCCTCAGCTCCTCAACCCCCCCCCCTTCCCCCGCGGGAGCCTGCCCGGTGACACCAAAAAGCTCTCAGATTTGAAAAGGAAGTGACTGGCAACAGATAGAACAAAAGGCTGATTTCCTTAATGTACAAATAATGGTGGCATTTGGCGAGGGCTCGGTAAGGGAGGGAAATAGTTCTGAGCACTTTGCGCGCAGCATCTCCCGCCATCCTCATAATAACCCCTAACACGGAGGAGGAAACTGAGGCACGCTAAGGGCAGGCGGCCCAGCCAGTAGGCAGCAGAATCAGAATTTGACCCAGGCAGTGGGGTGGCACCCTAGCCAGTCAGTGGGGCGGGATGCTTCCTCTGTGCTGTTTTGGCTCCTCACAAGCATTAACTCATGTTAATCCCCACAACCACCCAGAATGGATAAGAAAAAAACTCCACGACAGGCAGGGAAAGGGCCAAGGAGGCAAACGGACAATACGCACAAGGAAAACCACAGAACCAGGCATATTCATAATCAAAGACAACAGTAATATGCATCGGGGATGTCTTCAATTGGTAAATGTTTTAATGACTTAAACTAATCCCCAGCTTGCCAGCGAGCTGTGGAGCAGGTGCTCCGCTGCCGGTGGGCGTGCCCGTTGGTACAACCTTTCTGGAATGCGGGAAGGCCACTTGGCAGGACCTACCAAATGCCTTTAAGAGCTAGCCGTCCTCCTCTCTGCTCTCCCTCCTTAGAATCTTCCTGAAGAGACCGATCGGAGGCACAGCAGAGGTGAACATGCAAAGCTGTTCAAGGGTACCTGGCTGGCTCCATCGAAAGAGCATGTGACTCCTGATTTCTGGGCCGTGAGGTCCAGGCCCACGGTGGGTGTAGAGATTACTCAAATAAATTAAAACTTAAAGTTGTTCAGGGCAGCATTACTTACACTGGTGAGAAAGCAGAAAAATACACAAACTGCAGCAAAGGAGAACAGCTAAAGAAATTATGGACAGATTTACTAGGGAGTGATACTTTAAAAAAAATTTTAATGTTTTACTTTTATTTTTGAGAGAGAGAGAGAGAGAGAGAGAGAGAGACGGAGTGTGAGTTGGGGAGGGGCAGAGAGAGAGGGAGACAGAAGCAGAAGCAGGCTCCAGGCTCGGACCTGTCAGCACAGAGCCCGACACGGGGGCTCGAACTCACGGACCGTGAGATCATGACCTGGGCCGAGGTCAGACGCGTAACCGACTGAGCCACCCAGGCACCCCAAGTAATATGTAATTTCTGAGTGATATTTCTGTGTGAATATCCTATTCCCCACCAAGCTTTTTTTGTAATAATTTTTTTAATGTTTGCTTATTTATTTGGGGTGGGGGGAGGGTGGGAAGGTGCACGAGAGCGGGGGAGGGGCAGAGAGAGAGAGGCGAGAAAGAATCCCAAGTTGGGGGGCTTGATCCCACGAACTATAAGATTACGACCTGAGCTGAAATCGAGTCAGACTCTCAACCGACTGAGTCATCCAGGTGCCACTCCCCACCAAGTTTTTACCCACAGATGGAACATCCATCAAATGCCTGAATCAATTACTATTATCAATTACTATTACAAGTATGTATTACTTTTATAATGTAAGGTAAAACTTACTGTTAGAAAATTAGTGATTTTTCATTTAAAAAAAAAGATGAGATAGATAAAACAAGGCAGTAAAAATGTTGACAGCTGCTGAGGCTGGATGATGGATGTTCTGGTATAATCACACCATTCTCTCAACTTTTGAAAATTTCCATAATGAAAATTCTTTGGGTTTTTTTAACGATTTCACTCTAATAATATTCATGCTGAAGCGTTTCGGGAGAGCACACTGTTGTCTTCACCTTAGTAGGAAACACATCAAAAATAAGGTAAATGGGGGCGCCTGGGTGGTTCAGTTGGTTGATTTAAGCATCCAACTTCGGCTCGGGTCATGATCTCGGGGTTTGTGGGTTCGAGCCCCACATTAGGCTCTGTGATCACGGTGTGGAGCCTGCTTGGGAGTTTCTCTCTCTCCCTTTCTCTCTCTGCCCTCTCCCCGCCCCCTCAAAATGAATAAATACACTTAAAAAACATACGATAAGTGGATGGATATATAGAGGCTGGGTGATGGAGCTGTGAGCACACAAACGAGGAAATGTGAACCGCAGAATCTAGGTAGTGAGTGTGTGGGAGGTCTCTGCGTGATTCTTACAACTGCTCCGTATGTTTGGAATTTACCATCATAAAATGTTGGGGGACTTGGTTATTTCTAAGTGGTGGGTTATTTTACCTTTCCGTTGTGTTTTTCTATGTCTTTAGAACCGAGAACCAAGAGAAAGAACACAGGTGACTCTGGTTTTTATATTTATACTCAGTGCTCAGGGATTCAATGGCTCTAAGAGATGACTGCCCAGGGGATCTGCCCAGAAGCAAGGGATGAAACAGGGGTCCTCTCAGGGCGCTGGGCTCCTGCAGTTTTGGGACCAGACTCTGCAGACTAAAACACTGAGGGTTCCTTGGGATGGGAGGGCTGACACCCCTTTGAAGAGGAACGGCTCCTTTCTTCCTCCCTCAGTCCCTTCCCCAGATACCCATGTCCCTTCTTGACCAGCAGAGGCACTCAACCTGCAGGGAGCTGCTCTCCACGAGGGGTATGGGTCTGGGCTCCTCTGGGCACCCCACTCCTTCTTCTGCTTCTTGCCCTGCGCTCCCAGGGAAGAGTCTGCTCAGGGACAGTGGGACTCGTGGAGAAGAATAGAGCAGACAGGGAGAAGAGGGTCATGGGAACATTCCGGTGTAGCCAGAGCTCTGGCCCTCTCTGCCGCCTGGTTCCTGAAGCCGGCACCAGACCCCTCCTCTTTCTATCTTTATCAAGGCAGTACTCAGGCTGGCAGACGGGTTCGAATCCCAGTCTCACCACGTCCTTGTGACCCTGGACAAGCATATTCTCCTTTCTGAGGCTTTATTTATCCATCTGGAAAAGGGCTATCCTTGGAAGTGAAGCAGATAACCCACAACAGGGGTGCGCCTGTGGCTTCTGTAAAGGGCTCAACAAACAATTACTGTCCTTCATTCATCGGAAGCCTCTTTATGTGTCGGCTGCTTTTCTAGACAGAGAAACAGTGGAGAACACTGTAGCTTCCAGCTGGTGATATTTTTATCAGTCGACGTAGTCAAAAGCCCCTGATTGACTTACAGGTTCTGGGGTTGAATATAAGACCCTGGATCTAGAAAAGCAGTGAAATAAGAGGAAAGTGCAGGGAAGACCTGTTCAGATCGTGTGCAGGCTCCAGGCCATCTGGTCGCAAGCAGTTGCTCAAGTGAGCTCCGGTGCCTTATCACAGGGATGCTCAGGACAAGAGGAACCCAGATTCCTCCTAGGATCCACAGGTCAGGGCCTCCAGGAGAACAAGAGTGCCAGGTACAGGACAACTCCATCCCCTTGTCCCCTCAGGAGCTAATGTCCTTTAGGGCCCCCCTGCTGAATCACAACTATGTATTTCTTGATTTCTCGGTATCTCCCTGGGCCCTTAGCTTCCTCTGAAGTGGCCATGGTTTTTCCAGCCCCGCGGAGAGAAGGGCACAGAGTGCCCACGCATCCAATGTGGAAGGTTCTCTTGGGCAGAGCTCTCGGGCAAGAGGCCTCCGAGAATGTTGGTGGCCTCTGGCTGGTCTGTTGTATGACCAGCCATCTGTGGCCTGAGCATATGCTGCATAAAACTTTGCATCAGAAAGATATCCAACCACAGTGTGCCAAGACCACGGTCTGTCTTCCCTTTCACTCTTACCCCGGGGAATAGGGTGGTGTTAGAGTGGCCACAGACATCTGAGAACTGTGCATACTACAGGGAGACAAGCTGGAGGTAGGGTCTCTGGGCTGAGTGGGCTATGCTTACACATTCCCAGGTGCTTCCTTGTATAGTTAAGTTGTTTCTAGCCATCTCTGTGGGGGATTGGCTTCCAGGAACCCTCCTTTCTCCCTAGGCAGACTCACCTGCCTGGCGTCCGTACATGGGGGCTCAGGACCAAGGGTGGAGTCTCGTGGTTCCGTGTGGCACATGGGTCAGAAAGGAGAAGCAGGGTTGAAATGCAAGGAGTCTCTCTAGTAAAGTATGCAAATGTACCAATAGCCTCCCTACTCTGCCCCCCACCCGGTTGCCTGCCCACAGTCTCAGGAAATCAGAAGGCCGAATAGAAGAGCTCGCAGCAGTGGGACCAGGGACCCCTTTCCCAGTGATGGGGCTCCCTTCCCACCTCTGCAAACCAGGGGCTACCTTGGGATCCTATTTCTCATCCGGGATTTGCTCCTGAGCGTGGGATGTGTGTTTTTGAAGGAAAGATCACAAAGTAGGGAATCCTTTGCAACAATGAATGATCTTTCCTTACTTGCCTGCTTTGAAACTGCAGATTTGCCTTACACACGGAACTCTCGCACTCACCACATCTTGCGATGTTCAATTTAATAGTGGGTTTGAGTTTGGCAGTAGAGACAAACTTCAACACAAAGGGTTCAAAGCCAATTGCCCTTCCTACACAGGACCTGAGGCAAGTTGCTTAGCTCTGGCAGCCTCAGTTCCCCCACCTGTAAAGTGGGGGCCATCATAATGCCTACATCATAAGGATTGTGGTGGGGATTAGACAGGGTAATGCATACATAGTGCTCAACTCGGGGCCTGGTACGTAGACACCGCTCAGTACATGTTGGCTATTTTGCTAACGTTAGTTTTTAGTATTTTTATTAATATTATTCACGACACTACTGTAAGGAGATGGCTAGCACATTATAAGCCCTCCGTGCATGGCGGAAGGCAGGGAAGAAGAAAGAGCAGGTGGAGGAGAGAGGAGGTGACTTGATCACGGTTCCCAGAAGCAGATCCTGATTTATGTGGCAGTGATGTATGAAGGAGGAGCACCCTGGAGAGAGTGGTGAGGGAAGCGGGGGAAGCAGACAGAAGAGGTAAGACAGAAGCCAGGTAAGGCTGGGAGCCCTGGCAGAGACCTACCAAGGGCAGCTCCCGCAGACTCCCCGGGAGACTGAGCCTCCCGTGTCAGCATTCCCCATGCTGAACTGGGATGCCGGGCTTTCGCGCTCCCCAACCTGTTGGTCGCCAGCGAAGGGCCATCTTGGGGGGGGGGGACACTTCCAGCTCTCTGCATGAAGGGACAAATGGCTCCAGTAAAAGCCCCCTCTAAAGAATCTCAGGTATGGACAGTAAGAGCCAAAGCACAGGCGGGCCAGGGCAGGGGTGCGTGGGAACAGCCCTGCTAGGACCTGGGCAGAGCACAAAAAACAGGAGCTGCTACAGGGACGAAGGTGTGGATCCGGAATGAAGAGACAGGAAACAGGCTTTACCAGACACGTGCATGTACACAATACTCTGTCCTCGAATCCTTCTCTTTTCACTTAATAGTTTGTCCAGGAGATCATCCCGCGTGTAGAAACCTGCCTCTTTCTCTCTTCAACACCAATCTGATATGTGAACACTGGTATTGGACTGTGGTTTCAATTTGCACTTCTATTTTGTTTTTTCGTTTTTTAATCTCTTTAATGTTTATTTTTGAGACAGAGAGAGAGAGAGAGAGAGAGAGACAGAGCGTGAGTGGAGGAGAAGCAGAGAGAGAGGGCGACACAGGCTCCAAAGCAGGCTTCTCTTTTGAATAAGACTAAACATCGTTTCTATACGTTTAAGAGTCGTTTGTGTTCCCTGTTCTGTGGACTGTCAGTTCACGTTCTCGCTCATTTTCCTATTGCAATTTTATTTCTCTTATTGACTTATAGGAACTCTCTACATATTAAGGACATTTGAGTCGTGAGCAAAATGACTCAAGGATGGGAGCAAAAGTACATTCATCCCAAAGGCTGCCCATGAATTCTGTTCCCTAAATCTCCTGGGCCGACAAGCCCTTTCCAACGTCTGGTTCCTCACTTACTCTTTTGCTTCTGTGAGCTAGTCTAGAGTCTCCCAATACTATTCCTGGCTTGTTTCGTTTTTGGCTTAACTTTCCAGAGTGGATTTCGGTGGT